TTCTGCCCTAGGAAAAGACTCCAACTATCCACACTATCTATGCTTCTCAATTTTATATATTCCTATCCAAAGCTTTAGGTTCAAAGCCAAACCAGGACTTGACAGCCAAGGAGTCTTCCCACTGATTAGGTTGTGGCAAACCAAACTAGATCAGCTTTGTATGGCAGGGTCCTAGCAGTAATGTCAGTTCAAAATAAAAACTAATCAAAAATAAACTTTTTATTGAAATTGTTTTTCAGAGGAATGCTAAAAGATGGTTGACAAGAGAATGGAAAGTTTGACACCATGGGTAGCAACTTTTGTACTTAGTCTAGAGCACTCAGTTTCCACAGTCAGATAACTGTTACTTTTCATGGCTCCACTTCCATACTGAAGAAAAAGGAAAGTTCACAAATTGAAACAAAATTGGGGATTTCAGGGATAATGTGTTCTTAGAAAAAAAATTCTAGTGATTAGTTTGGAGAGGGAGTATTTGCAACAGGACTGGAAAGGACAAACAAGACAGAAGGTACTAGAGATAACAGTGTGGATCTGGAGGAACACAGCAGGCCAGGCAGCATCAGAAGAGCAGGAAAGTTGAGGTTTCGAGTCAGGACCCTTACGTCAACTTTCCCGCTCCTCTGATGCTGCCTGACCTGCTGTGTTCCTCCAGCTCTACACTGTTATTTCTGACTCCAGCATCAGCAGTTCTTACTTTCTCAAAAAGGTGCTAGAGCCCTGACCCAGTTACTATCTGCGAATTTTATGAAGTTTATACATATTATACAAGATATCTCATTTTGAAACTTTGTTGTAATAGGATTCAGCCCAAGGGCAGCTGAGAGACACAGCACACATCACCAGTCAAAACAGATATAAAATTAATCAATTTGTACGTTCTTGAGCACATCTAATCTTCCAGTTTAAACAGTGTTAAAAGAGATTCTCAGGTTACAGAATTTTAGCATTATGATGAGTTTCATCCCTGGAATTGGGACATGCAAGTTGGGTGGGGATTTATATCTGTAGAGTTCAAGCTGAGCCTGTTCTACAGGGTGAAATGATTTGAAGTTTGCAACACACCACATTCATCTTTGAAGATGTATTACAGGATCAATAATATCAAACACTTCCTCTCCCTTCCCCCCTACTTTCTGAATTAACATTATCAATTGCAATTGCAGGGGTAAGACTTGTCTACACACACAGGGATAGCAGAATGATGAAGGATAAATGTGTCACCAAATCCTACCCTCATGTTCAAAAAGTTTAAATCATTTTTGTTTGACATTGCAATTAGGATTTTTTTTTTAAAAATTAAAACTCTTCCCCTTGTTGGTACAAGTGTCAGGGTCGATGAATAGAGCGTTTTGTCCCCAGTCGTACAATTAATCATCCTCTGCCTCCTGGGGAGGTTAGCGTTAAGAGGTCATTCATCCCAAATGGTACATGCTGTTTTTTTAAAAAATGTGCTGCATAAAGAGCCTTACAATTCTTCTATTTCTTTTTATTAAAAGATCATTTATGTTGAGTGTTAATGATGCTGACGCCCTAGAGCAATCATAATCATATCATACTTTAAACCTTACATGTAACAACTGCCACATCAAATTACAATCATCTCCCAGGATGAAAAGAATTAGATTTATAGAAATAAGACTGCGGTCAATGTTGTTTAAATTGCTAAGACAGAGTATACAGCAGCTTCAAGTCACAAAAAAAATTGTAATCCTTCAGTCTTCCAAGTGTTTCTCTAGTTATAAATGTCTGCTTCATTTTAAAAAAGTGCAAATAATCAGTAATATAAACTAAACTAGTCATTCTAATGATGAGAGATAGTAGGAACTGCAGATGCTGGAGAATCCGAGACAACAAGGTGCAGGGCTGGATGAACACAGCAGGCCAAGCAGCATCATAGGAGCAGAGAGGCTAATGATGATATTGTCACGAGGAAGGAAGAGAGGATTTTACCAATGCATGAGGGAAGTGGAACAGAACAAACTGATCGATCAGCCTGCAAGTCAAAGTTTTGGATGCAGCTGGATTTTATCTTAGGGCCTTAAAAAAAAGAGGAGATTCTTGAAGTAGTCAATGCATTGGTGTTCATTTTTCACAATGCCTTGGAGTCAGGAAAGTTCCATCAAGCTAGAAAGTAGCATCTATAACTCTTCCCTTGCACCACCCCCCCCCCCCCACCCCTCTCAATTCAGAGAGGACTGAATATGGGAAGCTACAGGCCAGTTAGTTTGAAGTGTGTTCGAATCAACTGAAAGCTGCACACAAAAAAATTCAAAGTAAACTAGGAATGTCAGCATGGTTTTGAAGGGAAATCACAAATTTATTGGAGCTCCATGAAGGAATAACATGCTGTAGATGAAGGGGAGCCTGTAAAATGTGCCTTTCCTGGATTGGCACTAGGCATTTGATTTTAAAAAAAGTGCCAAAGTTTATTACAAAAAAAAAAAAATCTTGACATAGGGAGTACTGTATTAGCATGGACAGAAGATTGCTTGGATGGCAGAAGAGAATATGCACAAGTGGGCCATTGTCTGAGTGGCAGCAGGTGAGGTGTGGAGTCTTCTAGGGATCTGCAACAGGGCTTCAATTTTAAAAAAAATTACATCAATGACTTTGATGAGGGGAGCAAAAGCATGGTAGATAAATTTTTACATGACACCAAGAAAGGTATGTTATGAAGACAACACAAGGCAAAAAAAATGTTGGTAGATGTGAGTATAATGTAAAGTTGTTCACTTTGACAGGATGAACAAATGCATATAATTATTTGAACAAGTGCAGAATTCTGAACTGTTTGGGGTTTGCTTATTCTGGTACATGTCCATAATGTCAAAACACAGATACTGTATGTAAAAGCAGCTGTCATGATGCTATTCTTCATTATTTTTACAACATAAATTGAATGTAAATGTGTTATGCTTCAGTTATACAGGGCATTATTGAGACAATATCTTGAATTGTGTGCTGTTTTAGTTTTCTTATTCAAGGACAGACATATGTACACAAAGTAATTCAGCAGAGGTTTACTAGATAGATAGTTAACTGGTAGTGGGTGGTCTTAAAAGGAGAGGTTGGACAGGCTGATCTTGTTTCCATTGGAGTTTAGAGAAGAGAGGCAATTTGGTTAAAGTTCACTGGATTCTGAATGGTCTTGGCAAGGTGGACAGGGAAAGAACGTTTCCTCTGGTGGGTCAGTCCAGAACTAGGAGACATTGTTTTAAAAAGTTGGCTATTCTGGGAGGGTGACGCCTGAGAATTTTGTGTCAGAAGTTTATACAACTTTGGATTTCTGCTTCAAAAGAAAAAAAAAGTGGTAGAGGCAGGGTCATTGAGTATTTAAGACAGGCTGGCAAATTCTTTTTAGGTTGTGGGGGGGGGGGGGGGGGGGTGGAGAAGAGAGAAATGAAGGCTTAAAAATCAGGATAAATGGAAATGTGGAATTTGAAACAAAAAAAAAAGAAGACCAGCCATGATCATACTGAATGGTGCAGCAGACTCCAGGAGCCAAAACACTCTACTCCCATTCCTGATTTATACTTAACAGCCGGTAGCCATTTCCCATGAAAAAGTTGAAATTGCTATTTTCCAAATTGTTGAACCTGCAGTAAAATTTCAGCCATGATTTCTCCCCAACTTTACTATTAGTACTCAAGTCAACTTAATATATTCAGTATTTTTGATAGGTGATTAGTGATGATTCATCTATTAAATAAAATCAATACTTGGCAAGAAATTGCAACCAACTTAAGTGGGCATGCATTATCATTAAAAGAAAAATCACTATCACTGCTTTTCTGTATAATTTCTTCACAGCACTGAGGCAACCTTTTGACTAACATGAAATACATGCGACTCCTCATATTTGAAGAAAAAAGGGTCCCTCATCAGTTTTTTTTTTTAAATTCATTCACAGGATGAGGGCATTGCTGGCTAGGCAGCATTTATTGCCCATCCCTAATTGCCCAGAGGACGGTTGAGAGAGAACCACATTGCTACAAGTCTGGAGTCACATGTAGGCCAGACCAGGTAAAAATGGCACTTTTTAGGGAAGGAAAAGGGATTAGTGAACCAGATGGGTTTTTCTGGCAATCAACAATGGAATCATGATCATCATTAGATTCTCAATTCCAGACATTTTTTATTGAATTCAAATTCCACCATCCGTTGTGGGATTTGAACACTGGTCCCCAGAACGTAAACTGGATCTCTGGATTAGCAGTCCAGCAATAATACCACTGGGCCATCACCTCCCCAGTTCAGAATGCTTCTCCTGGCCAGTGTACATCTTATCAGAGTTAACTTGCTAACAATTCCCTGCAAAATAAGCAATTGTTTTGAATGTGAAAGCTGTTAGGACAAAGATACAAGAAAAATCAATTCTAACATTAATGTACAAGTCCATTACTGGAAGAAGTGCAAAGCAGTTATCTATAATTCAATGACTAATAATCTGGTATGCCAAGTGCTTCACTATCTTTGATTACTTAAAGCAGATGAAAAACAAAAGTCCTATTTTGACAGCATGCTCAAAAGTTTTGCTTAAACAAAAAAAAAGTGTTCTTTCAAAGTCTTGCCTTTCTGTATAATTTAAGACATTCCATGAGATAAGCATAACTATTAATGAATTACAAAATGTTAGTATTCCCTTGGAATACATAGGTTCCCATTTACTAAACCAATTGTGCTGAAAAACCACTCTGGAAGCTTGCACATTGACAAAGGAAAATACATACATGCTTAATAACAGTAAAATGAGCTTTTCCCTCACTTGTATGAAAATAGTAAGAAAATTGCTAGTGCTGCTGTCTGTACTGGGAAACAAAGCAAAGCAAAGCAGTGTTATTAGCAACAGCAAATAAAGTTAAAAAATAACCCCAAATTTCAGCTGGTATTCATATTAATTGAAATTCCCATTTTAGTGTAGTGTAGAGGTGGCTAGTGTAAATCAGTTGCAATTCTAACTAAATAGAGTGGCGATCTGGTGACTGAATTTTTCAACTTCAAGACCAATGTTCAAAAGAGAGCATCCCAACTTCAGACTGGGAAAGTAATTTATTACACAAATGTGAGATGGAATTGAGCCATCATTTTCTTATCTCAAACATACATACAGTCAAGGACACTTAAGTCTTTGGAAAAAACCCAAGAAATCTCAATTCAAAGTCAGTATTACAAGTGCCGAGAGTCTGAACTTTCTGAGTAACATCAAACTTACACAAATTTTATCCAAGCTACATAAACCTATTTTAAAATGTGCAAATTCAGTTTAACACTGAAAATACAAGCATTTGCAATTAACCATGCAATATTGATGTACAAATTGTTTGCGATTCTTATATTCAAGGCTAAACAAAATGCTTGCTCCCAAGTGCATAATTATATTGTAGATTCAACAGGTACACAAACACTAAAGTTTGCCTTTAACCTGGTGTTGCTTGATAAACCTTTTCACTAATGTACATCAATAAGGCTATAGATCAGTGCTACGCTACAGACAGTGTCAACTATACACTCTAAATACACCTGTGCCAGTAAAAGACAGTGGTTGTTTTGTTTGTCCTTCTGACATTTTATCATTCTTGAATCAAAGACATTCTGGTGTACAAGTCAACATTGTAGGAATGTTATAAAAAGTGGTTTGATTTAGTGTATAACTGAACAAAAAAACAAAAAACCAAGAGTTGATAGACAAAACAATTGAAAAAAGTTAATTATAGCAGAAATCACATGTTGGATTATATCTATTGGCTATATTGTTAGAAACCATTAGCCACTTCATACATCTCTCTCCTATAAACATCAGTTCCACAACATACTAAAGCAGCAGATAGCTGGGATCTTCAGTGCAATATCAAAATCCAGAATTACTGGAAAAGTAACTTCAATTTCTAAAATAAAAATTGAGAATCTTTAAATTTAGTGAGAATTTTATGATTCAGAACAATAGTGACGTCCAGTCAATGGACAATATTAATTGCTAAAAGAATTTTAAACTAGCTTTGGTAGAGATATTAAAGGCAACTAGTTGTGCATTCACAGATACATGTCATTTTATTTAATGACTATCTGGAAAAATGTTTCCCAGCTACAATGCCTTACCACACACAAAATCCAAGGCAATAGATGGCCATAGTCTTGGATCACAGTAATCCCTCATAGAAGTAAAGAAAGTGCTGTGGTGGGGAAAGATTTTTAAACAGATAGAAACAGTAATTGTAGAAGCCAGGCAAGGTGATTGGGATTAGCAACAAAATCAGTTTGGGGGATGGGGTGGAGTGGAATGGAATCTGAGAAAGTCACTCATTCTAGGGAGCTACATTACAAAGCATTTATTTAAAACCCCTAAGCTCACAGTATGCGACATTCAGAAGGGGCAAGTTTACTCAGTTCTTAGCACTGTTTACATTAGACTAACGCAAGAGAGTACAGACAAAATTCAGTCTTCTCCAATACATTCTTTACTGCTAAAAAAGGAGCAACATAGAAGCTGTTAAGTTAGTTTAAGCCAATAGTTGCAGCCCAGTCACCTGTCAGCAAACCTCAAAACTGAATGAAATTCCCATAATATTGGGCTGGATGGCCACTGGAAAAACAACGTGGAGATAATTTGTCTCAAAACCCATTTTGTTTCTGATGTGCACAAGCTTAGTGGAAATTTGATTTCTGTACACTACTTCTAAGATATGAAGAGTTCATGCTACTGTAGAGAGAAACAAAGAACGTGACTAGAAGTAAGTAATTCCATACCAACCAAGTATAGCTGTGATTGCTAGCTGGCAGATAATTCATGCAATAAACAAAAATTGAAACTATTTGTTTGTTTAATGTTATACTCCACAAGCAATTAAATGCTTAGGTTCACTGGAACTTAAGACAATGATCCTCACAAAATAAGTTAGGCTAATTTAGAACTACAATACATAAAACTGTTAAAATTTATCAACTCACTTTTCAAACATCAATTGTTTTTAAATCAGGAAAACATGATCAGGGCGGTGGTGGGCGGGGGGGAAAAAACACTGCAAAAACAAAAAACAAAGTATATACAACTTCTAGTGATTTACAACAGTCCACAAAGTACAAGGTTGTGTTACAGATAACAGCTAGCAAAAAGGCTTCACAAGGTTTTATGGAATAATTTGGGTGCAGCAGGTCCATGATGGAACATCAGTTGAGGATCAAATCGGTACCTAAAAAAAAAAAACAAAAAAAAAGTAAATAATTTTTTAAAAATCAGCATAAGCAACAGATGATACAATTACTACTAACTTACATATTTTGGCCAAAGAAAGATACCAAGGTTCTGCATTTTTTATTAAGCTACTATCTCTGGCTAAAAACTAAGAGTAACGATTCTATATATGCAGATACTTGCATGATGGCTATGCTGACATTTAGTTCCACATCTATATTGGCTTGTGCATTAGACAGGTAACTGGCAAAGGAAAAGCCTCAAAAAGATGATGTTGGAATTGAATGTTAATAAAGCCAATTACTTCCAGCAACAAAATAGACCAATAATGGCTCTCTCAGGCATGATCATTGAAAAAGGAGGGGGAGCAGATGGGCATAAGATGTTTACAAACCATAGTGGAATAGTGAAAATCAGGATCACAAAAAAGTACTGGGAAGGGGAAATGGATTAAAAGTCAAAATGGCGAAAAAGAATTGAAAGCAAACCGTTGTTAGAATACATAGCTGATGACTACATTTTGAGGCTACAACTTGCAATGAACAAGCAGAAGTCTGACTGAAGAACTTCAAATGGAACATATAAATTTTACTTCATCTATTTACTGAAAGAATGAAAGGCAGCCTATTGAAATCATAATGTAAGAATATGTTTGAACAGCTCCATGATGTTAGCATTATATTGCCTGTAGTATGCTTTTGATGCAGTGAAAATCTAAGCATGAGAGAAAGGAAATGCAATTAAGACTGCTTTGCTACTTGTGATATATGTTTGTATAAAATTCAGAGGTAAAATGTTGTTCAGTGGAATTACTGAAGGAAAAACACCTCTCAGAGGAGGTCGTACTTAGCTCAACTCAAGCAGCAGCTACAGGACAGTTAATTTCCTTAGAGCAGACTTCAAGCTGTTAGAATCTATCATTAATAACTTAAGGTTGGGTACTTTGAGAACATAGGTAAATCAGAAGGTGTTAGCATGGTTTATGAAAGGGAAAAAAAGTCTTATTTAACCAATTTATTGGAATTCATTGAAGGAGCAAAATGCCCTGGCATTTTTAAAAAAAAAGGAGCCTGTTGACATTCAGTACAGAGGGAAACCTAAAGACATTTTTGTACAAGGTGCCACACAAAAGTTATTAGAATTAGATTTTGTCATAAGTACAGGGATACACAAGTACAGTGGAAAAAATATACAAAGGCCCCATTTCTGGCACCATCTTACGTACAAAAAAGGTGCCTAGGTACAAAATCAAGTTAAAAAAAAATTAGAAAGATAATGAAATAAAAGTTAAAAATTCAGCACTCCAGTCCTTCCAAAGCAAAGTACAAGCTCATGGTTGGAGGTAACATGCAAGTACAGATAGAATAACTAAAATACTGCAATTAAAAAAGAAAGCTTGAGAAATTCAGCAGGTTGGGCAGCATCTGTGCAGAGAGAAACAGTTAATTGCAAGTCCTGACAATTATTTTTCAGAACAAAAGGTCAGACTTGAAACAGTAGTGATTAGCCTCTTATACCCACTATAAATGTGCAGCTCTTGCTTGCCTTCAATTTATTTTCAGTTCTTTCATCTCAAAATGGGATTGAACTAGAAAAGGTTAAGAGCTGCAGACAAAATGTTTAAAAAGCCACAAGCTGCTGACTCTGCAGTAGGGAATGTCTAAACAATCTTCCTTACCTTGGATCATATATTCCTGGTGTCCGACACGTGGAACCAGAGCAAGATTGCAACATCATAAGACGATGGTTCATCTTCTCAAGAACTTCTTGATCTATTGATTTGGCTATATTTGTGATTTGGTGTGGGTCAGAAGTTAGATTATAGACTTCTACAAACACCTGAGTAAAGAAAAGCACTGGAGATTATAAAAAGAATTAAGTTGGCTTATATATGCCTTTCACTTCCAAAACTGAATAGGAATGATTGCATCATTGAAATAATAAGTTATGCTACACTCAATACTAAGCATCACAAATCAGTTGTATTTTTAAAAGATTCCTTTTCCCCCCATAACTTTATTAACTGAATTTTAGCAGCACCTTTTGCCACCCAGAAAAGATGTGTTTTGCCTGCCAAGATTTCCAAACTAAAAAGGAGGAAAACACGTGCCACTAATAAATCTAAGTTACAATGCACTATGACATGAGAACATTCAAGGTGATTCTTTTTAGGAGTTAATCTACAAAATTGTCCTCACTTAAATGTCAAATATGTACATTTCATGCATTTAGCCAAATCTCTCTTCCACCCTGCAATGGCAGCTTGTAGTGTGATTAAAACAAAGTATATTTACTATTTGAAAGATTGAACTTGCAGGAAAAAAAAAAAACAAAAAAAGATTTTGGTTTCAGCTCTGTGAAGGTCAACTTTCTTTGTAAGGAGATCAGAAAGTAATTGAAAAGAAAAGTAATCTAAATTCGTCATTAAATCACCTTTCTTGGAAATAAGTGCAAAGCCTGGTGTTAAAAGAAGTGTTTTTCACTGATGGGTTTACGACAGACAGAAAAACAGTAGTTAGTTTGAGGTCAGTTCAGAAGAATCAGGTTTTGGTTTTAGATTAGCAGAAAGACATGGTTCTCAATACAGGAGAGCAGTCTTGTCCCGAGAAGTATAAATTTAACAAATTAACTTGCAAATGGAGACAAGTATTTGTATTTGTATGGAAGTAGCTTAAGCTGACAGAACTGAAATATTTAAAATTGGAACTGACAAGAGTTAAAGATTGCTTTGGCAGTTCCAGAAGGAAAACCAGAAAGAGCAAGTAGTTAAAAAAAAAAGAAAGAAAGATTGGAATGATAGTTCTCTGGGACTGTGCACTTGAAAAACGATATTGCAGGAGTGGAAAGTTGTGCGTTTTACTATTTATGACTTTTTCCAAGTTGACAAATGTAGATTTTTTTTTTTTAATGCCTCTCCCTTGTGAATGAATTTGTGTTGTGTTATTTTGTTAATGAATGTTAGCAGCCTATGGTGTGTGAATTGGTTTGGTGAGTAGCCACTAAGAGAAAAAAAAAGTGACTGATTTAAAAATCAAACCAGGTTTGATTCTGGTATCAACTTGTCCAGTATTAGCATCTGCTGGGATCATTACTCATAAGTAATAGGACTGCTCAAAAGCTATTTGAAATCCAATACATGCTAAGGGGGAAAAAAAAATGACTGCACAAGTTAGGGTTTTATGAAAGAGGAGACTTGGCAATTAAGGAATCAAGAAAAATGAAAATATTTAACAGCACTCACCTCACTATCATCAAATTCACAATACTGCAAGTCAGCTGAATTGGCAATTGTTCTTACACATGCATAGGTGTTGTTATATGCATCTTCACAAACACAATCAGGGAAACAGTTCTATTGAACAAAATAAAAGTGGTTTGAGTAGGTAAAGATATAAACAGGTTCAACCTCAAACACCCAACACGCACTTAAGTCTTTAAAGGCTACCAGGTGATTAGTTACTTCCAGCACTGAAGATGTTCAGAGGTAATGTTTTCATAGTATTCCCAAATTTAATGGGTATATTTTAACAAAAATATGGTAGAGAGTTAGGTGTTGGTCCAAAGGAAGAACTGATTAATATTTGGTGAGAAGTAGACCTGAAATTTTTAATTTAAAAAAAAAAAAATCCATTAGGACTGGGAGAAGTATGAATTGACTCAACATTGTGTTAACACATTGTCTCAGCTGTTGTAATTGAATTCAAGCAGCATTTTCAGTGCAGATTCTTGGATGTTAGAGGCTTGAAGCCCCTTTGAGCAACATGAAAGCCAAATTTTAGGAGGACTTCTGTCAAGTGTCCTTATCATTGGTTATAAAACACAAGAGAACAGTTAGCTTTAAAATTGACAGATAGTAAGAACTGCTAATGCTGGAGTCAGAGATAGTGTGGAGCTGGAGGAGCACAGCAGGCCAGGCAGCATCAGAGGAGCAGGAAAGTTGACATTTTGGGTCAGGACCCTTCTTCAGGGTCCCGACCTGAAACGTCCTGTCTGCACTCACCTATCACCATCCCGCCTATCTTCCCCAGCCCCTCCCCTCTATTTATTTCAGAGCTCCCTCCCCCCTCTCTAAAGAAGGGTCCTGACCCGAAACGTCAACTTTCCTGCTCCTCTGATGCTGCCTGGCTTGCTGTGCTCCTCCAGCTCGACACTGTCAGCTTTAAAATTGAGCAGGTTACTGAATAAACATCATGGGTTAGCAACATCCAGATTAAAAACTCTAAAGCTCTTGTGGAAAGACTAAACCATGACAATTTCCTCAGGCAAAATTGCCTGAAGAAACAAAAATGTTTCTCAATAACAATAGACAGCAGTCCTGTATCAAAGTCTGGGTCATTACAGAACACAATGTGTTCATCCAGCTCTACACCTTGTTATCTCAGCCTCTAGCATCGGCAGTTGCTACTATCACAGTTGACCAGGTAACATACTTCAGATACTAGCATCAATGAAACATGAGCTGCAGGCATTTACGTAGTCAAAGGAGACTTGTGACAAAAACCTCCACATGCTTGGCCTCACGCACAGCATGAATATCACAAATTTAAGAAAAAAAAGCAGAGAACTGAACGTTTCCACATATACTGCGTTAAGTACAAACTCAAGTGGTTTAGAGATGGTTCACTTCATGGCTTTGTTTATTGTTCTACCCCTCAAATGCATAGCCGAAAGAATTATGCATAAAGCAGCAGTATAAGCTGTTGAATATTTGCAAACGCCACCTCTCCAGAGCTTTGTAGCAAAGACCATACTTACAATGGCTTAGAATAAGATACTTCAAAACATGTATTTTTGTCAATTTGCTTTAGAGTTTCCTACTTCATTTGAGGTGAAGTAGAAATTTTACATCATGCAGATTGAGTAAAAAAAAAATCTAGTACTCACCGTGACCCCTGGCCCTAATGAAGGACAAGTAGGATCACTTTTGTTACGTCCCTCTCCTTGATACTCTATAAGGAGGTCAGTCCTCCATGTCACATTTTTTGCCTTACCGTTCTGAAGATAGAATTGAAATGGATTATACGAAAATAACAGTTTTAAGTATAGTGCAGAAAAAGATCAAACTGACATGAAGCTGAATTCTTCAGCAATTATCAGAGTAATTGCTCTAGAAGTCCAATACCACCTATTATCTTATTTTCACAGATTTTGAAAAACATTAGAGCTAGAAATAAACTGGTGGATGAAACAGATCTGTAAACAAATGGAAGAATTTATAACAGCTAGTTTGACTGCAAGTTATTTTTGTTACCATCATGTCCATATTAAAAGGAATGAACTATAGTTCCACCACATGGTCAGTATCACAAAAACCTACCAGCAGAGGCAACAGAGACATGCCATCCATCCTGGTTTTGTTGGTATCATAGCCAGCAATATCCAAGAATGTTGGAGCCAAATCAATGTTTGCTACCAGCATCTGAAGGAAACGGAGACCAAAGCCTTAAACATCTCAAAGCCTTTAAAACTACAACAACAAATCAGTTCCACTCAAGTTTCAGATATCAAAAGCTAACGTTTCAGCATGTTTCAATCTGATACAACACATCTCTTCTCCCCCTTCCTCCCCCCCACCATTTTCATTTCACTCCCCATCACATGCATTGAATACTTAATGCAACATATGCTTCACTGTTGATAAACGCTCTTGGGTGAAGACTGGTGCTACGTAAACTTCATTTAGAATTACACGATACAATTGTCTCATTTGACTCTACCAAAAGGCTTCAATCGATCACCAAACAACAAAATTGGGGTAGCATGGCAAAGACATTAAAAACAGTGATTTTCACAGCTCGCAAAAGTCCATTCAGCATTAGACAGGATTCTGCAGTCAAGATAGACCATGGTGATGTAACGTTAGTCAAAGCTAAAACCTAGCTTCAAGGTGTTTCAAATAGGATTGCTGATTTCATTAAAACCAAGTCATCTTCTTACCATTTCTTCACTGTTAATTATTCTATGCAGTACTAAAATAAAAAAAAAAGTGTTGCTAACTGCAAAAGTGAAGCAATGGATGGAAGTTATATTTGTTGCACTGCAACAGTCATAGCCAGGAAACAACTTTCAAGATTATACAAGGCAAGTTCCTGAACCTGTTGATAAAAGTACACTTCATGTAGCTGTACAAAATTTGTTTCTTATGGAGTTCAACTGCCAATTTTAAAGCAATCTTCCTTTCTAGAAAACCTTCAACTCAAATATTCTGCATAGACCTAGTAGTTTACACAAGCATCAGCCTGGCACACATACCTGATTACTGCCAGTAGATTTGATTCCAGGTCCTCGTACAAGCAATGGCACTTTAATGTCAAATTCATATAGCTGTCGTTTGTCAATTGGCAAAGAAAATTGGCCTAAAGATACATTTAAAACAGATGTTAATGTAGCACAATGCATTCTTGATTTCCTTTAGCTTTGTGTTCGATTATTACTTTATATATTAATACAAGAAGTACTGACTGTCAGAATGGAGAATTAAGGCCATGATTATAAACAAATTCTAGGTTTCCTAGAACAGAGGTGGTTTCAGCAAACTAGCAACTATTGCAGAATTGGCAACTGTCTACTTGAACAACCATTTTAAAAACTAAAGGAATAATGATAAATCCTACTTAAACATTCTTTGCTCATTTGAACTACATCAGTCACAATCATATAGACTATATAAATTGTTGTAGTGTTCACCAATATCTTGGGTCAGGAACTTGGGTTCTAAAATGTGAAATGATTCATTTTGAAAGGTCGAATTTGAATGCAGAATATAGGGTTAACGGTAGGATTCTTTGCAGTGTGGAGGAACAGAGGGATCTTGGGGTCCATGTCCATAGATCCCTCAAAGTTGCGACCCAAGTTGATAGGGTTGTAAAGAAGGTGTATGGTATGTTGGCTTTCATTGGCAGGGGAATCAAGTTTAAGAGCCACGAAGTTATGCTGCAGCCCTATAAAACTCCGGTTACACCACATTTGGAATATTGTGTTCAGTTCTGGTCACCTCATTATAGGAAAGATGTGGAAGCTTTAGAGAGGGTGCAGAGGAGATTTATCAGGGTACTGCCTGGACTGGAGGGCAGGTCTAATGAAGAAAGGTTGAGGGAGCCAGGGCTTTTTTCATTGGAGCGAAGAAGGATGAGAGGTGACTTGATAGAGGTGTACAAGATGATGATGAGAGGCATAGATGGAGTGGATAGTCAGAGACTTTTTCCCAGGGCAGAAATGACTATTACGAGGGGGCATAATTTTAAGGTGACTGGAGGAAGGCATAGGGAAGATGTCAGGGGTAGGTTCTTCACACAGTGAGTGGTGGGCGTGTGGAATGTGCCGCCAGCAGTGGTAGTGGAGTCAGATACTTTAGAGGCTTATAAGCGACTCTTGGATAGGCACAGGGAGGATAGTAAAATGTAGGGTATGCAGGGTAGTTTGATCTTAATAGGATAATAGGTCAGCACAACATCATGGGCCGAAGAGCCTGTACTGTTCTATATTCTATGTTCTATGTCATACTGGACTGGAAATACTAACTATTTCTCTCTCCACCAGTTCTACTGCACCCGAGTTACTCCAGCATTATGCTGGTGTTTGTTTCATTTCTAGCATCTGTAGCATGGTGTTTTTATTCAAAGTTATTTTTAAAAAAGGTTGTAATAGAACATAGATCACTTTAATAATGGTTGAGTTTGTCGTCCATTACAGGAGGTCACTCCACAGGAAATATCAAACATCAAGGCAATAATAAAGTACAATGTAAAATCAATAAGTAAAGCTAAAAGCTTTGACAGGAAATAAAATATTATTGCTTACCTGTGTGATAGCCATTATCAGATGTAAAGAAAATGTAGGTGTTTTCTAGCTCCTTGATTGCATCAAGTTTCTTCACAACTTTTTCAACAAGGTCATCCACTGATAGCAACGTTTGCCATCTAAGAAAAATAACCTAGGATTATGCTAAACATCCACATTATATTTTCCTTAAAAAATAAAGTAGTGAAGAGAAATAATACCTTTTCCTGAATGCATTATCCAGAAAATTCATCGAAGAGTTGGTCATGGGAGTCTTTGCTTGCCTGATTAGCCAATGTTTATCCTTTGAAGTTTTTAAAATAGGGACATTAGTTTCAATTGACAAGCATTCAAATAACATTGCGATTAATTACTTTTTTGTTGCCAAGAAATTAAGAGTGTTTATTCACATTTGTGATGGTCATGTGCTGAGAGTGTTCAGCCATCTGTCTGTTATCCATCTTCACTTCATGTTAGAATACAACTGACACCTAACTTTAGGCAGTTTAAAACTTGGTGATAATCCCCGTATGTTCGAATATGTTATTTGTACAACTAATTACTGGTTTAAAAAATGAACCTGGTTGGAATTGTTTCTAACATTAAGCTAGACAGTCTAAAACCTACATAAACTTAGCCATATCTCCAGATGTTGGTTCAATTTTACATTTACTATAACCAGTGGAGTGGGACTAGTAAGGAATTGGTGCACTCCTCCAACCTCAGTCAGAACATTATGGCTAAAGAAAGCTTGCTGATAGAAAGTTTGGTCAACTGACTACTCTGCATCTGTAATGGGCTCCCATCTTTCAAAGTTAGAAATTTTACGTCAAGACTGTATTAAGGCAGATTTTTATACAAGCCTCTAACAATGATTCAAATATACCGTCATTTCTTTAACCATCTCTCACGTAGATGTATGCTGCAACATGTCAAAAAAAAAAAATTGTAGCCAAATCTTGCAACTATACCATAAATTACAATGATCCAATGGGATGCTGTTACATTAACTCACTTGAATTCTAGCAACAAATAAAGCTTGTATTTTATCGATGGAGTTTTAAAAATAAAAAACTTAAATTGTGTTAAGATATTTAATTGTACAAGCATTGAAAAAAAGCAGAGCAGAGCACTTTGGTTAGACTTTACTTCCTGTTCAGGAGTTGATGTCGAAATTTAACTGGAAATTCTTAACATTACTTTGCTTCAGATTTATTATGCATGTCCCTAAAAATATTCAAAAGATTATACAGTTCTAAAAATAAGTTAATCATTACCAAGGTTAAACAGGAGGATAGTTTTAATACATTAATGTATTCTAATCTTGCATAAAAATTACCTTTCCATGTATGTTAAAGTTGCTGTTTCTTGGTGCTTTAACATCCAAAAAGTTCCTTTCGTATTGTGGGGCAGGAATCCAAGGGGAGTGTGGTGCTGGAGTGGAGATCATCATGAAGAACGGAAGATATTTGGTTCTAGAGTCCAAAAACTCCAGTGAAATATTTGACTGTCAAGTGAAAAAGTGCAGAGGTTAGAAAGTGGTGACTGAAATTACAAGGATATTAAAAAAAAAAAATCAACAAGGCCAAAAACATACAAATGGTGAGAAATTAATACTTTGCATAAAAAAAAAACCAATCAATAAAAGCAGACAACTACTGCATATTTTTACATTCAAAACAAATGAAGCAGAAGAGTATAGCTTCTAAACAAAGAGCAGCATTATTTAGTAACTACAGTAGCTCAGGTCAAATGCTTCCAAATCAGCCAAGCTCGAATACTGCAGGTTGTGGCAATTTACTACTTCATAAAAATTGAGCAGATTGCAACATGTATACTAAATTAGAGTCCCAATGGTGCAGTGGTAGTGTCCCTACCTGATAGCCAGGAGACTAGAGTTAAGTCCCACCTGCTTCAGATGTTATACATCTGAATAGTTAGATAACAAAATTGATACCAGGTTGGACTTGCACATAATCAGCCATAATGGATTACAAAGCAATACCACTTCTTTTAAAAAAAAAGCGCATGAGAGTGAATTGGAAATAAATGTCTATCAAGTTTGAAATGGAGATTTCTCATTCAGTACATGTCAGTTTGTCTCAAATGGTGACTGTCCAAGGTTAGAAGGCTGTGGATTCAAATCCAAGGCTTAAACAGAGCCCAGGCTGGTACTTCATACAGTAAAGAGAAAGTCAGAAGTCAAGTCAAAAAAATACCATCTCTTAAAAGGCAATCTTAATAAAATGATCTTGTTTGGACTCAGGTGTAGTAGAGGATCAAAGCAAAGCATCATCAGAGCAGAGCACGAATCCTCCTGGAAACCCCATTAACATTTATCACTCAGCCAACCTATATGATCTGGCAAATTTATTGCCATGTTTTGTACATCGGAATAGAACTTCAGTGACTATGAACCACAGGGGTGGTCACACAAAACAGGCTGTGAAATGCACTGTACAGATGCTGATTTCTTTCTAAAAAAACCAAAAGAGCTTTTCCAGCAACTTTGTTTTGGTTATTTCCAAGTTGGCTAAAGCAGAGGAAAGTTGTATAAACAAGCCATTTGACACAGACAGAAGAAGTGAGGTTAAAAAGCTGCATCTGGAAGAACAATTACAACTTCCACTTCCCTATTAGGCGTGCTCCCATGCATGGCCACATACAAGGACAACGAGAAACTTTAACTCAAATGGAGACTTGCAGATTCTGTTTACATTTTATTCAGGTTTATCCATGAAATAGACCTCAATACAATGCAAAAGAAAGTTTTAAAAAAAAAAAAAAAAAACAACTTACTAGTAAATCAGTTAGATAATCATGGCTATAGTTCTGACCATGATACTGTTGTTTCCCATTAACAGAAAGTGTGTAATTGTAGTATTTTGAATTCTTCACCTAAAATGAAAAAAAAAATACAAACTGTATTATAGTCCACGTTTGTCCAAGTTCCTTCATCTAAATAAAGCCATTGCTGTACTTTTTTGCATCCAATGACAAGCTAAAAAGGGGTTCACAACTGCAATCTTACTTTCCTCATGTCTTGTATATTTTAAAATTTATGTATTTTGTTATAACGTAATACAAGAAATAGGTGGGAGTAGACTATAAACCCAAATTGCTTGGCATTCAATACAATTGAGGCAGATCTTTGACTTCAACTCCAGTTTATCTCCACCTCATATCCTTGGTTTCTTATTTAGCAAAACAAAGCAAAGCAAAGGAAAAAAAAATGAAGTTCATTTAAAAATCGGAGATACGACAATGGAGCACGCACAACCCTCAGTAGAGAATGCCAGAGAAAACACCTCTCTTCCAAAATGAACCCTTTCACGTGGCAATTGCATACCAAAAGGCATCAACTGATAGTTAATGTGTAAACTTCATTTGATAAAGCAAACACTGCAGAATTCCTATTGTATCCATCTAGTTTAATAGCTTTTCAGAAGTATGGAAATTACACATTTAACAACTGTTCTGTAGGTCAATGAGCTTCTTGTAAATGCTTACCAGCGCATACCAGTAATCCCAACCTGGTGGGACATGTTCAACACTGCCTGCAGCCTCTGAGCCATACTGCAAATTAAACAATAAAAAAAGGAGCATAAATGAGAACCTACGTGTTTACAGGAAAGAAAATTCTTACAGTTCAATGAACAATTTTTGCCAGAAACTAATCTACTTGATACTTCTGAACATCTCAATTGTCCAAGAAAATAATTCTCCCACCATTCTCACACCCCACTTTTATGGTGAGGTGAGGCATCTAGTCCCTTTTGGGGCAAGGATACAAGACTATTCAAATTACCTTCTGCACCCACCATGTTGGCAATTGTGTTCATTTTTGTTTATTCACAAAATTGTAATTTTAACTGAAATTCTTCCAACTTTTATTTGAAAACATTTAATACTTCCAATAATTTAACCTTTAACTATATACTGTTTGTATAATTGAAGTGCCACTTGATAAATGTCAATAATTTTAGCTTATATCCCTGAAAATTAGCTGAACATTTTGATATTGCCTTAGGAAATTCAAACTGCTAGTTATGGAAAAAAGGGACAGTAAGATTTTCCATATTACTTTTATGTTATTTGTTATAATCCCTGTGGAAAGGTGGTGTTTAGAAGAGCTCATATGACTACACATTTAAAAATTCAAGCACTCATCTGAAGAATGTCAAATAAAACTGGTGTAATTCAGCAAACAAGTTAAATTAGATGGCCATTTACTTTATCTCCTCTTTAAGATACAGAGAGAAATAATTAAGATGTACTCAAAATTACAAAAGCAGCATAAAACATCTAACATCAGGTTGGAAGGGGCAGCCACTTTGATTGTGTTTTAAAGAGCAATTCTAATTTTATTAGTTATGCTCTTTATGGTGAGCACCAGACTTCCTTAGTTGCTCCTCCCAGATAATCACTAGTCAAAAGCAATTTTCATTTCCAGAAAGCAGTTTCTTTCTTTTCAAAGATTCACCGCATTCCATGAAAACAAATGGAGTCTCGGCAAGAACAAAGATTTTTTTAAAAAAGTACAATTGTGTACTCGCAAGCAGTAGAACCACCAGTAGCTGTGAATCATGGTTTAAATCATTTGGGAGTAAAATTTTCAGCATTGGTTCCAAGTTGTGCACCTAGTTATCAATGCAGCAAGTGAAAATGCTCTTATTCACAATTTTGTGCAATCATTCAAATTCAGGTTCAGCTTTAATCAACCTCCTGGCCTTGCCCCCAAAATACTAAAGTCCAACATAACTATATCCTCTCCTCCTAGGTGATCTTTATTCATAAAGAACCAAGGCTAAACATAGTTAAAAAGCCAACTTTCTTCCATCTGTTCTTTACATTCACAGACGGTGACAAACTTGCTGCGACTGTCCAGCATGTCGCTCTTACTTCTCCATGCAAGCATCAAAGGCCATATCATAAAAAGGTTAGGGGGGTCAGTTCAGTTGGTTGAACAGCTGGCTTGTGATGCATGATACCAACTGCATGGGTTCAATTCCAGTGAGGTTACATGAAGGACCCTTCTTCTCACCCTCTCCCCTCACCAGAGGCATGGTGACCCTCAGACTAAGCCATCACCAATTATCTTTCTCTAAATGATAGAGCAACACTATGATCTGGTAGAACTATGGTGCATTTGCTTCTATTTCTAAGAACACAGCCAACCAATCTTTAAAAAGTAGCCTTTAAAACTTGCCATAACTTAAACACATTAAAAACAAAACAGAGTCTGCAAAAGCAGATTTCATTTCAAATAAGTGGTCAGACTTTGAAAATTTTCCCAAAACACCAAAAGAGAGTTTGTCACAACGGTAACTACCATAATTAAGTCTAAAAATGTCAATTAACTTATAACAAAAGTTTTACCTCATTCAAATATTTTCCTGCAAAAAAAGTCTGATATCTACAATGATGTTGCAGGATAGCTGAAAACGTGTCAGGTTCCTGTGTCTTTTGCCATGCTTTGCTACTGCAGTTTCCTTCCAGCGTATTATTAAACACACGGTGATTGTGTGGATACTTTCCAGTCAGGATACTAGCTCTGCTGGGGCAGCAAAGCGGGCTAGCCACATACTGAATAAGAATATAAACACATAACAGTTACATTTAAAACAAATATAATGCAATTGTATACACCATTTACAGTTACAGTGAACTTAAATTGAAGTTTATTCCCATCAAAATGAACATCCAATGTTGTTTATTACAGCAATGCTGTAACAATAGTTTACGTTCAGCAAATTTTAAATCATGTTAAAATCATTGACAGCTCAAGCTGAAAAACGGACACAATTCCTTGAAGATTTACAAATCCAGTTCAGAATTTCTCCAGTCACATCAATGGGACTCATCACTCTTAGTCTATCTAATAGAAATTCGAATTACCCCGCCTCCCCAGTCACAGCAAAAGAAAAGAAAATGTAGCTCACAGCATTTTTAAAGGTAATTCCAAGATCTCCAATAAGCTTTCGGGTTTTTTTCAATGGTGTCTGGAGGAAAACAAAGAAAAACAAAATGACTCAAGCTTAAAGCACTACAATTAATTCGTTTGGTTGGATGATATTAGGAAAATACTGACCATGTCTTTTTTGCACTTAATTTGAAAAAACAGAGAAGTACTTTTAAGTTGACAAAACATTGAAATTGCACATTAACCTTTAAAAATCCAGATCACCTAAAAAGAGAGATTACACAGCTATTTGCTACACCTTTAAGCCAGGCCTAGGTTTGTTATAAGGCCTGATTTGACTGATAACTACAGCCAGCCTGATGTTATTGACTACAGTTATTGTCAAAAGCAAACAAAGTCTCCGCTGCCTTAAAGCGATCCACAGCAGCTCCGCTCCACCAGAGCTCTCTGTCCAACTACCGGCTCACCATTCCGCCCAGGAGAACATCTTGATCGTCGGTGAGGATCAAAACTATGTTCGGTTTCTTCGAGCTGACCTGTTCAACAGCAGCAAAGAAAAACAAGACAGCGAATACACAGGACGAAGCAGCGAGTAAAGCCATAGCACTCTGCTCCTAAACTCGCCTCGAGTTTCTATCCTCTATGAACTAAACTGCGTTCTCTCTGCTTCCTTTCTATGATTCACAAGTCACATGCGCCTCCAAAACAAGTAACATCAGCTGATCCCAGCACCTGGTAAAACCTTTCAAAGGGCACTAACAATTGATAAGTGATCGGCGAACACTTGTTTATCGCAAATATATATTACGCAACGTTCAAAATTCACAGTGATTATTTAACATTACATGTATCCCGCTGTTAATTTTACTTTTTTGTTGGTGGGCCCCACATATTTGCAAAAAGTCTCATTGGAACTTAAAACCGGAGAATTTGACATGGAGGAAGTGGTAATGTGGACTGCAAACTATTGTAACAATTTTGTATGTATTTGTTACAGTGAAAAACAAAAAAAAGCATCAAAACACAATTGTCCTCAATTGTCTTATGTTTTCTACAATGTATATTGTGGACCATGTGAAGGAGGAGACAGGATGCATAAGTATAATTGAGTATGATAAAGATATATACAAACGAGGGAAGCTGGTGGCTTTAAGTGTCACTCTGTAAGTTCAGAAAAGATAGGGGCCCAGCCCAAGTTTCTGCTTGGTCTTCTAAGGAGAGAAATCTCATGGAATGCTCACAGATGCAATTTATAACATTGGATCTTTCTTCAGAAGTAGGGGTTGGTATATGCTGCCAAGGTTCATTCATTTGGAATGCGCAGAGGTACAAACTGCACCAAATGGGTTCAATAAGAGAAGCAACATGAAGAATGTTCCTTGAGCCATTCTGAACTATCCACTATCTGCCAGGTTCTGACCTGTAGCCGTTATCAGGCTAGGAGTAGTTGTTGTGAATAGAATGTATTTAAGCTGTTTGTTTTAAAATGAAAGTCGGAAAAATATTTTAAACAGAGCGAGCTCTATCCTCAGAAAAATTCTCGAGCTAACTTTTAGTTTTGAATACTGTGTCTGCACATTGTGCTCCAATGTGTTTAAGAAGGGTGATTAATTATAACCATAGTGCAGAACAAGGTCAGTTAGCATGTTACATCTAAACTGATTCTTTTTTGAAACAATCAAAAAACTAACTCCACTGCTCTGAAGGTTTTCCACACACCCTTGATATTCGTCTGCATTAAATATTTATCGACTTACTTTTAAAAGATGCAATAGCCTCTGGTTTGACACCTTATGCAACAAACACTCTGCGCTTCAACAATCTTGTACACAAATAAATTTATACTGTCACATATTGTTGCTGTCTTAGTGACAATGTTAAATTGACCATCCCTTACTGGTAAATTGCCAAAAAGAGGAATAATCCTTTCATGCTAACCTTATCAAAATTCATAAAACAGTTTAAAAAACTATAGATCTCTCTGCAACTTTCTGTGCTCCAGTACAAATTATCTTAAACCTTTCAACATAACTATAGCTTTCCATCTGATATCATTCCAGTATATCTATGCTGTACTTTTTTTTGTAATTTTGATGTACATCCCAAAACTGCACCATTATGCAGTATAACCATTACTTCATATAAAATTGCCTCTTTACAATCATATCCATTCCTACTTTTTAGAAAACTGAAAATATCTTTTGTATTTAATGTGTGTTTTTCTACGTGTGCTCACAATTATATTTGAATTATTAAATCTTGTTAGTTCAAGCTGTTCAGGATTTTGCACTAATACTTTTTATTTCTTCCTAAAACATAAGTTCACACTATCACGAATTAACTGCACTGATCTGCCCATTTTGCTGATGTGCCAATGTATTTTGAAGTATTTTTACAGTATCACAGTGTTTGTGTCATTAGCAAATTTTGATGTGCTCTCTTATGACCAAACCCAAATTATTTACATGTTCTGAGAGTAAAAATTAACATTGTGTTGACTCCTTTATTCACCACTTCCACTCCAAATAATATTCATGAAATTTAACCCTCTGTCAACCAACCTTCAATCCATTATTTACCACACCTCTAATGGTGTATGTCAGAATGGTTCCTGTGAAACATTTTAATCGGCATTTTATAGCTGAGATTGCATGCTGGGTAATTGCAAATTTCAGTATTTTTTTATAGAATCTGTGTTGTTGTGTAAGTAAAATAAAAGAAACAAATATAGTAAATGGCAAAAGTTTAAATGAACACAGAAAATACTACAAGTACACAACGGAGCGGCTAGCATTGTAAAGACAGTTTGTAATGAGTTTGATTTGATTTGATTTATTATTGTCACATGTACCTAGGTGTTACAAAGTTGAGTAGAGTAATTGTGAGGTGGAAGACAGAAAGCTAAAATGTGTGTTTCCTTTAAGAGATTTGTGCTTTGTCTGTACTTAGAAATTGTTTTTAAAATGTGTCTATGAGTAGCAGCTGAAGTTGCCAGTATAGAGAGCCTCAAAAAGTGAAACAAGAGTATCAAAAAAGCCTATCAGAGATAGTAGGAACTGCAGATGCTGGAGAATCTGAGATAACAAGGTGTAGAGCTGGATGAACCAAGCAGGCTAAGCAGCATCAGATTTTCTGATGAAGGGTCTAGGCCCGAAACGTCAGCCTTCCTGCTCCTATGATGCTGCTTAGCCTGCTGTGTTCATCCAGCTCTACACCTTGTTGTCTCAAAAAAAGCCTTACAGGTGGCAGGCAAAAGAGGAGTCTTGTTTTGATGTTGTGACAATGAACCTGAATTCAATGAATTAATTTAAACAAAGCACTTAGAAACAGAAAATCGACTGAATTTAAATAGGATGGTGTTGACAACCTGAAACCAATCATTGTATGACAGGTGCATAAGATGAGGGCATTTGGAAAATCGGGGAGACCCAATTGTCATCTGAAAGAGAGACCCAACTGCCACTTGCTAGTGTTAGCACCATTCAGCTCTCAGAGTAAGCCTATCTAATTAATCAAAAGTTATCACGGTATTTTAGTTCAAAGTCCTCATTAAAGAAATTAGAGATAAAACATCCCTGACAGCAGAATTAACAGAAGAAAGGTGTTTGTGAAGAGACTGAAGTCAACAGAATATTCTAGAAGACAGTCTGTGTGAATTTGGAGGGATTAAGTTATAATTTATTGCTTCTTATTAATTGGGTTTATATTAGTGGGACTTGTCTTTATTAAAACAACATTCCAGTAGAATTTAGACCAGTTGGGGAGTACTTAGTAGTCTAGGGGGAATTGTCGGTTTTTTAGTAATTTTGTTAATTTGTTCATTGTTGGGTTAAATAAATAGTTTCTTGTTACTTGGAGATCAGGGATTTTCTTTGTTTTAATCATTCTTTTAACAGATTATGAGGGGAAAGGTGAGCTTCTCTGGGTGTTTAGGGGGCAGTTATTAAAGGGGAACCCCTACTCCTCTCATAACAGATCGGGGCTTATGTTTTAGTTTAATTATCAGAGGGGTTTGGCCATTCCCTGTCATAACAGAAGGTGAAATGTTTTGTTTTGTGTGCAGTGTCAACAGATCTTACCATACAAAATGCATAAGAGTAATAGAACAGAGCAAGGAATACATGTTTACGTGCACAAACGGTGAGGTCAACATTAAATTTGGAATTTGAGATCAATTCAGAAGTCTAATAACAGCAGGGAAGAAGCTGTTCTTGAATCTGTTGGTACCTGTGTTTAAGATTTTGTATCTTCTGTCTGATGAAAGAGATTATAACCGGGATGGGAGCAGTCCTTGATTATGCTGGCAGCCTTCCAGAAGCAGTGAGAAGTGTAGATGGGGACAATGGATGGAAGGTTGGCTTGCATGATGGACTGGGCAGTGTTTGTAACTCTCTGTAGTTTCTTATGGTCCTGGGCAGAGCAGTTGACATACTAAGCAGTGATACATCTAGATAGAATACTTCCTATGATGCATATCCTTCATCAGTTTGACTTTGTAGGTCAAACAGTTATCAGATGGCCTTAGTCCACATGTAGAGTCTACATTTTTGTAAATATTGCCTATATTGGTTGGCCACAGTCCCACAGCACTTTGCAACCCATGAATTATTCTTGAAGCATATGATAAAGACTAAAAAAAATGTTTTAGTAGTATTGATTGAGGGATAATTATTGTCCAGAACATTGGAGAGAAATTGTGAAATTGTGCCTCAAAATTTTTAAGTCTTCTTGGGAGTCTTGAGGATTAAAGTCACACTTACAAGATGGCACCTCCAATAACACAGCACTCCCTGGACTTAAATGTTAACTTAGATGTGAAGCTCAAGTCTCTAGAATGGTATTTGAACCATAACCTTCTGAATGAATTGAGATTGTGAGATGGCTGGTACAAAAATCTATTTTCCTATTAATTTCCATTGACCTTAAGGTGGTGTCAGTACCAATTTTAAATGTTCTGACTTAGCATTTCTCAACTATTGAATCAATAATACTAAAAAAAGTTCTTACATCCTAAGCTCACTGAATTGATTCAGGGAAAATCAACAGCTAAGAAGTAATCACATGGATTTTGGAAACTCTAACAAATGCTATAGTTCATTTTTCTTGTCTTATTATAATATTTTATTGAAAATAACATATATTTCTGTCATCAGGGAATACTTCTGATCATCAGTTAAAGAGTACCACATGCCAATTTTGTAAAGTAAGCTTAGCCTATGCTATCTGTTACAAACTGTATAAGATCAACAAACCTAGCCTTTTACTAACACCATTACGATCATACAAAATAACATTTTTTTAATCGTTCTAACTTTGGTCAAATGTAGTTTCAGATCAATTCGCGATGAACTTGGATGTAAATGATGTCACATTTACAAACCTTTTGTGAAATGAACCTTGTCTTTGACAAATGAGGTTGATCTTTTAAAATGACAACTGAAATATAAAGCACCTCAGGGGACTAAATGTTTTAAAGAATAGTGGTAATAATACAAGTGTCAGAGTGGTAGAGCTGAATATTGTCAACATATACATGGAAGTTAGGCACCATGTCTCTAAGGGTGATTATATAAATATTAATTGTACAGGGCTAATGTAGGAACCTGAGACAAGATACAATACATCCATCTGGAGATGGGTAGAGTAACATTGAATTGTCGGTGTTTTCTGGTCAAATTACACCTAGGAAGGCAATGCCATTCAAGTGGACCACAGCAG